TGAATGAAGCTAATAATATGTACATACAATTGAAGATATAAACGATATTACATTATTTACTGGATTTTTAACATTTTACCTTATTGAATTAGTAATAAGTTGTGTTCGTGGTATCGCTTTGTGTGCGCACATAGATGTTGCGCAATATGGATATTCAGAAACCATATAGGCTTTGTTTGTGGGGAATAGTTTACCCATCGCTGTATTTATATCTGCGAAATTTTAGTTCGATTTCATTTGTTTGTCCCATAAATCTTGCGTCAGTAATCATAAGGGGTCGAAAAGTACTATATATTTGAATTTTTATTATTGTCAGATTGAATTCTGACTTTGTTTTTTCTGTCAATATGTGGGATGTTGGACAATTGTGGCTCTAAAGGTAGTCGTGGGACGTACTGGCTATTATTTGATCGCGTAGATGTGGCTTTAGCGAAGTCTCCACAATAAATTGAAAATATGCAAATGGAATGTATTAAAAAACGTCAGTTAGTGAATAATAAGGTAGACTCTGATTCATCTGAATATGAAAATGGAAATGACTCTGATGAAATTAAAGTTTTGGGCAATCATATCTTAAGGCGTTCGAGAGAGATGGCCATAATTTTTGTGTAACTGACTTTGTATCAAATGATCCTCAATATTTAACTGATGCTATGGCTAGTGAAAATGCAGATTAGTGGAGAGTGGCAGTTCAAGCTGAAATAGACTCTCTTCATTCTAACAAAACATGGTGTTTAGTACAATTACCTGTTGGTAAGAAAGCCATTAAATCTAGGTGCGTATTCAAAACCAAAATGAACAGTAATGGTGAGGTGATACGACGTAAGGCTAGATTAGTGATCAAAGGATATAATCAGACAAAAGGTATTGATTATGAAGAAACATTTGCTCCTGTAGTTCGATACTCGTATACGTCATTACATTTTTTATTGGCGTTAGCTGCACAGAACGACATGTTAGTACATCAAACGGATGCTGTAACAGCATTTCTCAATGCTGAGTTAAATGATGAAATATATATGGTGCAACCTGACGGTTTTGATGACAACACTAGGCGTGTGTGTAAGCGTTTGAAATCCTTATATGGACTGAAGCAGTCCAGTCGATTGTGGAACGAAAAATTTAACAACGTTCTACTGAAGTTAGGTCTTCATGTTGGTGATGTCCTGCTGTTCTCAAGCGACGATAAAATATGAAAGCGTTAAGGGAACAACTTTCATCAGAATTTAACATGAAAGATCTTGGTGAAGTATCCTCAGTACTTGGTATGCCTGTTACAAGAGATACTACAAAGGGTACTAGAGAAATAGATCAATCACAATATATTTTCGAACCGTTTCGGAATGTCTAGCAGCAATCCGGTTGTGACAACGTCTGAGTATTGAAATGTGTCCAACAGATGAAACTGAGCAACATGGGATGTCAAAAATACCGTATATGCAGACTGTTGGTTGTTTGTTGTTCGCCTCACAAATAACTCGACCTGACATCAGTTTTGCAGTTAATCTACTGAGTCGTTTTTCTACAAACCCAGGAAAAGCACACTGGGTTGCGGTAAAATGTGTAATGCGTTATCTAAAAGGTACCATTGACAGCAGAATTGTGTATAGCAGGGAAGTAAATGATCTCACTGGATACTGTGACGCAGACTTGGCTAGTGATCTTGACGAAAGGCGATCTAAGACGGGCTATATGTTTAAGCTTCACGGTGGCCCGATATCCTGCTGCACACGAAGGCAGTGTACTATTGCTTTATCATCAACAGAAGCCGGATTTATGGCCATGACATCAGCTATTCAAGAAGCAACTTGGTTAATACGTCTACACTCTGAATTGCCATCAGTTATGGTAAAAGTTATGGTACTTTACTGTGACAATAAAAGCGCTATACAAGTGGCCTTGAATAACTCATATTCATCTCGTACAAAACACTTGGATATAAAAGGTAAATTTATTCGGCAGCATTTAGAAAGGGGCACGATTAAATTGATTTATATTCCAATGAACGAGATGTTACCAGACATTTTGACAAAAGGTATTGCTAAAGAAAATCATTTTAATATTTGTAAGTCACTTGGACTTTTTAAGAATTAAAATAAAAATAGTTTTCTTTGCTATTATTTACAACACGAAACTATGAATCAAAATGTATGCATGAAATGTAAAGAACAAAAGTTAATTTATAAATATATATTACCAAAGTGTCGTTCAGCAAAAGTGTTGAAGTAAAAAAGAGCGACCCTTTGTACTAATAAATACAACTCTGTAATATCATATGTTTATGCTGAATTAATGGTTTCAGGTTTGTATTTCACGCTAAACAGGTTGTTTTATTCCACTGTGCTAAATTATATCACAACTTTATATGTATTTTAATAATAGTTCTCATAAGTTGTTTATGTTTTGTTGCCCTTTGTTTTTAAGATTTTGTGTTTTGTATAACCGGTAGATTCTTTGCCGTATATTTGTATGTAAATATTATAATACTTTCTTTTGAGAGAGACAGATTGAACACGGTATTGAAAAAGTTATTTCTCTTATGTACTTACGTAGATCATCATCAGTAAATATGCAGTTTTACATAGTATCTATTAGAACCGTCGTCTAAATATGTGTAAATATATATAGTACATACATTTTGCGCTGCGAAATGAAGAATTCTTGATACTTTATTGGCAGGTATTTGTATTATATATTTGTTTTAATTGTTCGCGCCCCTTTGTTTCGTTTTGTGTATTTTTTGTTGAATTTTATTGTTTCAGGCATTTTTAGATTTCGCGCCCGATTTATGTTTTCTTTTAGGTTTCGCGCCTACTATTCTCTCTGTTGCTTTTTTTTTTTGTTTGAACTGTTACTTATATTTTGCTTTTCCTTATAATTTGTTTTTGTGCTTGTCAGTTCACCTTTTATATATTTTAAGAGTACTGCACTCCACGTTTTTTTGTTTCTTTTTTTGTTTATTTAATTTTTTTGTTATGTTTGAGTCACTGCACCTTGTATTTTGGTTTTCCCCACGGCATTTTATATATATACATATTTTACTTTCGCACTCCGATTGCCACAAAATGTAGGTATTTATTATTGTTATGTTAATTATTATTGTTTTTAATTTGACTGTTACAGGTGCCTTTCGTTAAGGCTCGAAGAACCATGAAAAATTTCGTAATCAGTAGATTACATATGTATCTATATATGTGTATGTATCTTTATTTTTTACCATTTTAAATGGTTGTCACCCACATTCGAAATAAAAGCACCGGGTACACTTCAGCAATATACTATACAATGTAATTTATTAAGAAAATCTGAATATTTTTACAAATGTTATTTTATTAAGATTAAATGGGTGAATTATTTGGGTAACCAACTTAAACGTGCGTATATCGATAGCGCGCCAGATCGCTATTGCTGAAAAGCTTACTGTAGCGCGATGGACGGGTTTTGTAAGCGGAGTGATGATATGCGCAATGTCTGTAACGAATTCAATGTTGATGTTCGAATTGTGAGGAACGAATTGTGTTGAAAGGTATTGACGCGGCGCGAATGTCATAAAAATAATAGCGATTATCGAACCCTTTTGATAGTTGACGTCTGCTGTGATGACATCCACTGTGCCCCCAGGTTTGGTGTATTGGGGTTGTGTTTAGGTAGGGTGCGCCAGTTTTTCCCGGGTAGAGTGCATGGAGGCTTAGCTCCCTTAAACAAGTAGTTTGTGGAATGAGCAAAATTATATAAAATCTGGTTCATACTACGCCCTACTCAAATATATTCAATATAAAAAAGTCGGTTGCACCCGAAATGAGCTCTTCTTTACTCGATTTATTTTAATACATTGCATTATTATATTCAATCATGAATTTTTATTCATTTTCATCCATAAAATCCCTTTAATTAATTTTGTCACGTTTTTGGACCAAATGCTCCTATTTGCAGCGGAGAAAATGAGAATCGAGAACCCGAATACAAAAACTGCAGCTTAGGTGAAACGGTCGTACTAAAGTTATTGAACCAACTTGACGATCAACGTGAACATTGTGTTGCGTTTGACAACTTCTTCACTTCCCGTTAATTGATGAGTCACCTCACCTCTTTAGGATATTGTGCGAATAAAGCGAAACTTACTGATGTCTCATCATCTAAGAAGAAAGAACGCAACTGGGTAGACTACATGTTAACGCCAACCCTGCCCAATTTCGAAGTTCGAATGAGAGGAAAAGAAAAGATTGCTCTGCCGATACAGACATGACAAAAGAAATTGGGCGGGGGCGGCTTTAGCATTCTCCCCGCCTTGCAGTATTACTGCAAATACAGTTTACAATAGATTACTTAAACTAACTTAACTAACTGGCTCCTGCACTTCCTCTTCCACGTCTTCTTTGAAGATGGGGTGGCCGACGAGACGAATCGAGTCAAGTTCGGTCCGGGAAATGCCGCTGAGATGAATTTAATCTCAGTCGGTCATTGCCATGCCGCCAATTTGCATAGAAGTCACCACCTTCCGAGATCGGCGAGACGACTCGAGTCTAACTCGATCCTGGGTAGGTGATGAATATGAGATGCGTTTGCAGCCAGTTATAAATCGACGTATTTTGGGCGATGAGTTGACCCCCTCTCCTTGATAATAGGGCGTGCAAATTCTTGACGATGAACGTCTCGTCCACGCCTTCGCTTCGGATGGGGTGGCCGATGAGACGAATCGAGTCTCGTTCGGTCCGGACAATGTCGCTGAGACGAATCGAGTCAGTTCCTATACGAAAGGAAGTTACCAGCACCCCGAAGTTGGCGAGACGACTCGAGTCTGGCACGATCTTGGGCGTGTGGTATGCGTGAGAGGTATCGTTGGTCAGAGCTTTGCGTGACTGTTGACGTCGGTTGACATGGTTGAGAGCGGTCCGAATCCGTAGTCGTGCTGTGCGTTATTTTCGTACGAGTATGCTGTGACAATTGTATCTTGTCATTTGTAGTGGTCGTACTTTGACGACTCTGTCTTGTGCATGTGTTTAAGATTGGCGTTTCTGCTGTTTCACCGGTGGTTTTTTCTTGTATTTTTTGAGCACCAGTATAAGTTCGCCCTTGACATCGAGTCGTATCTCTTCGAGCACACGTTTGATCTCCTCGTAGAGTGAGAGCAAGAAGAGGTTATCGGGATCACGATTCTTCCGTTTGTTTGCTCTTGCGGATTTTTGTTGTGTTGCGACTTCAGCATGTTGTTGGCGACGCATCAGATACGAGTGCAGGCCGCCGTGGAATGCCTGCAGGTGTGGCATCGAATTGTATTGTTGTCTGTTGCTGCGCGCTGCATTTTGATTTACTGTTGTGTCGCCGCATATTGGTATTATGTAGACGGCTGTTGTGACGTCACATACGTTGCGACGGCGGCGCCTGCTGTTGCTGGATTTGTAGCGATTGATGCTGAAGTAGCTGTTGTTGCGCTGTCACCATTGGGCTGGACGCCATGGGTGACGAAATGTGCGCTTGAGACATAGACAGCTGCGTTATTGGCAGCTGTGCTTCACGCTGCGTTGACTGCTGCCGTTGTTGTTGCTGATACTGTTGTGGTAATGGCTGTTGCTGCGATTGTGTCTGCGACTGAGGTTGCAACTGTGACTGAATCGCTGTTTGCGTCTGTGTTAGGATCTGGGTGGGCGTTGACGTCGGCGGTGGCTGTGACTCCAATTGTGAAATCTGTTGCTGTTGTAGTCTAGATTGGAGACTAGCTGGTGCATCGTGTGTTGCAGCAAACGGATCGCCTAGCAACTGGGGCTGGTGCTGCTGTTGATATGGTTGATGCATTTGTTGTTGGAGCGGTGTTGGATGATGTGGTGGTAATTGTGGCTGATGTCTTTTCGACTGCTGTTGCCGCATAGTCTGTTGATGGGGCGATTGCTGTTTCTGTTGTGTAAATATAAAATTAGTATAATTTTGTCTACAAAAATGGGTTTGTGTTTGCTGTTTAGCTATTGCTGAATTTTGTCTGTTGACATTACCATTTATCTTCGTTTCTTCGGAGGGAACGGAACCTGTTAAAATCCAACCGAACACTGTACGTTGTGCCACGAGGGATGCGAAGATTTTCGAATTTACCCCATTTAGAATGATTTTCGGGTAAAGATCCGCTCCAATCAACAAGTCAACCTTTTGACTCGCATAGAAATTTCTATCCGCCAAGAGGATATTAGGTAACCTTTTTAAAATTGAGGAGTTAATTGACGTGGATGGAAGCAGTCCAGTCAATTTTGGCAGTACCAACGCTTCCGCTTCTAGTCTTAAACTTTTGTTGCGGGGCGAACCAATTGTAATCGCGCATACCGATTGAACTCGTCCTGATACGGTATTATTCAATCCTGAAACTCGCGCGCTGACCTTTTTGCTTGCCAGATGTAGTTGTAGACTATTGCTTAAGAAGGTGGCTTCAGATCCCGAATCAATCAGGGCTCTGACAGTGAAGGTGCTCTTGTTGTGACATATGGTCACCATGGCTGTACCTAAGAGCATGCTTCGACTGGTAGGCACATTTGAAATATTGGCCTTAATAGAGGCCATATGAGATTTAATAGAAATCTCGGTAGTGTCTGTGCTGTCGGATATCTGACCTATTCCCTCACTCGGATCCCGATGAATCATGGAGTGATGTCTCTGTTTACATTTGGAACAATTAAACAGACTTTTACAATTTTTGACTTCATGTGAGTCTGATAAACAGTTAAGGCAGACGTGGAGTTTTCTGACAGCATTTAACCGTGCGTTAGGTTGCATCTCAATGAATCTTTGACAAGTTTTCAAAATGTGCGATTGAGATGAGCACAGTTTACATTTG